TGTACTGCTTATGTACTGGTTCCTAGTTTGAATCAATCTCTATTAATTTTAATGTTTATACTTTTAAAATGTTTTTCTATTCTTGCTTTTATTGTGTTGCAAGCCTCCCATCACTTCAATACTGACATGGATGACACAACATCCAATACAACTACACAATTTATTTGTGCTGAGTTTAAACAGTTATTAATGGAGAGTGGGAAATAAATTAAGAACGCCTTGTGGGGAGATGCTATTTTTCCCAAAGCAATTGTTATTCATTTAAATACAGAACTGAGTTTAGGTATTAAGATAGTAATAAGAACTATAAGTTCTAAAGTGGAAAGATTACTAGGGACAACACTAGTAATCATTTTCTGCCAATCAATTAATCAAGCTGTAAGGTATTGTAGCTTTTTAAAAATAAGAATTAATATCATTCTGAAATATAGTTTCTTATGAATATGCTTAAAATATGTCTTTGTGTGTGAATAGACAATAATATTTGTAATACTGAGTGGTGTTGCTCAATAGATTCTGTATTTGTTATAGATACTGGGGGGAAATGTGGACACCCACCTCCCGTGGAGAATGGAGACATTGTGGAGATACCCAAGGCAACCTATTTCCCGTCTGAAACTGTAACTTATCAGTGCCAAAATTTCTATACAATGGAAGGTTCTCCAAGAGTGACTTGTCAAAATGGTCATTGGTCACAACCACCTACATGTAGAGGTATAAGTATTATCTATAATTCTTTATAGATTTATTATTTATAGAGAAATATTGTACTTTGGGAATGATATAAATTTCATGACACCAGAGCTGTTATGTCAGTGCCAGAAGATATTTTACTTCCTTGAAATAGAATTAGCAGTAGTATTGTGGTCAGCCGGCAGCCTGCAGAGATGGCAGCAGAGTCAGACAGTGAGGAGGAACATGGGCCAGTCCAGGAGTCTGGGGAGGACTCGGATGATGGTCCTGCATCCAATACAGAGATGGGGCCAAGGCCATCTGGGAATTATGTGCTGACTCTGAAGCCTCCAGAATCTGACAGCAGCCTGGCAGAGGAACAAGCAGAGCCTGTGCACGTGTGCGCAGAGCTTCCAGAAGGCAAGAACAGTTAAGACAAAAGGGGCGACTCGAGAGTAAGGCTTGGAGGTGATTGCCCCTCCCATAAGATATAAAGGAGGAGCAAAGGGACAGGAAC